AGAAAGAAACATTGATCGGTTGCCTCCAGTATGTGCCCGACTGGGAATCGAACCCAGAACCTAGCTATGTGCTGTGACCTGGAATCAAACCTGCAACCTTTTGGTGGACGGGACGACCTCCAGCCACTGACCGCCGGCCAGGCCCCCCTCCCCCAGCTGCGGAGCACCCAGTGCGTGAGCTTCCTGCCGGCTCCTCATCGGCCCCACTGACGGGCGTGGGGCCGTTTCCAACCGTGCGCTTCCCCAGTGTTTCTGGGGTGACTATCATGTGCGCTGGGGTGAGCCCAGCATTGGACCCTGTGTTCCTGGGTGAATCCAGCAGGAACGGTGGCCGGTGCTGCCCGTGGCCTTCCGGGGGCTCCCCGCTTCCTCTCCTGGGGGAGGGCACCGGTGTTGTCCAGTCCAGGCGTCTCATGCTGGCCTTCTTGTCTGTGAACTGTCTGTCCGTCCAGTGCCGCTGCCCGTGCTGGTCTTCTCCCTTCTGTTCGGCGTTCAGCTGTGAGTTGCAAATGTCTTGTTCCCGCTTTTCATTTCTCTGGGCTTTCTCTAAGGTGTTTTACATCAGGCAGAAGTTTTTTGTGTTTATTTTATCAATCCTTTCTTTTATAGATTTTGGGTTTGTGTCATAAATAACTTTATCCTTTTTCATGTGTAAGTCTACAGGCTGTTTTTAAGTAGGAGACAATTATTTTCTGTGCTGGTTTCCGGCCCACTCTGTCCGTATCAAGAATCCTGTCCCCTAAGTTTTGAAAGCAGAAGCCAGGCCCAGCTGGTGTGGCTCAGTGATAGACCGTCAGCCCACGGACTGAAGGGTCCCGGGTTCGATTCCGGTCAAGGGCTTGCACCACCGTTGCAGGCTCCATCCCTGGCCCAGGTTGGGGCGTGTGCAGGAGGCAACCAATCGATGTGTCTATTACATCAATGCTTCTCTCTCTCTCTGTCTCCCCACCTCCCCTTCCACTCTCTCTGGAAATCAATGGAAAAATATCCTCAGGTGAGGATTAACGGGATTTCTGCCCCCACCCCACCAGGACACCCCTCCCTCAGTTCTATGTGAATAAAGGACATGTGAGCTGGGAGGGAGCAGAATAAAACGCCAACGTCACCCCGGCCCTGCCACCATACACAGCGCCAGGACCACGGCTGCTTCCTGTCCCCCGGTCTCACCGAGGACCACGGTGTGCAAGGCGCTCGGTCATTTGTGAGCATGGACCCAGGACCTGCTCTGCGTCTGGTGCAGGGAAGGCTGGATTCAGAGATGAATGAGACAACATAAGGAGGCAGAAGGGCTCCACCCTCAGATGCCAAATTATAAAACAGGAAACACCACGGGGTCGAGGTACTCAGGCCCCACAACCACCCGGAAAGGCCCTGGGAGACAGCTCAGGGGAGAGCAGCTGACACGCAGGTGGGGACCCGTGTCGGGAAGATTCTGGTGCTTGAGCTACAAGCTGAGGTCTGGGAGCAGCTCCCAGGCCTGGGCACTAGCCTGAGGCATCCCCATGGTTATCAGTGATGCTTCACCGACATCAGAGTCACACCCACCGGCTGGCAGCCACCTCTCCGGCGGTGGCAGCTCAAGCGCACGCCTTGAGAGCCGTTCTCTGCGAAGGCGCTTCTGGCCAGGCAGCCCCCCAGGAGGTGGTGGTGCGAGGCGGGCCTTCCCCACGTCCGCACCCGCTGCCGCTGAACCGTGGAAACAGGCAAAATCACACCCGGCAGGAAACTGAGAAAGTGACTTGCCTGGTTCTCCCCAGACCTGGTTTAGTTCTGACTGTAGATCCGGCGGGGGGCGGGGCACCACCCCGAGGGTCTCTGGAAGTCCACCCGGGGCTGGCGGGGGCTGGCAGGGGCAGGGCTCAGAGCTATTTTCAATATTTCAAAAAAGCCTGGAGAGAAATCATATATGACCAGCTGAAACGAAAAGCCACCTTCTTCTCTTCCTTCTTCCCCACCCTTCCCTTCCCCTCCTCTCCCTTCTCTCCCCCTCCTCTCCCTTCGCTTCCCCTCTTCTCAGAGCTTCAGAACCGGGGTTCCCGGCCCGCAGGCCCCTTCTTTGCCTTCTCTTCCTCCTTCCCTGGACACACTGGTAAGTGCTGTCCCTTCCCATTTTCACCATCTCTGCATCCTGGAACCCCTCGCCTCAGCTCCTGGCTTTTCCAAGGCTCTCTGGTGCATCCGGAGCCCTGCCTATGGAGAGAGCACACAGGTTCCTGGCCCATTGTGACTGCAGCCTGCTGCATACAACCCTGGTCTACCAACCTCTCCTCCTCCTCCTCCTCCTCCTCCTCCTTCCTTACAATGAATAAACCAAGGCTGTACACGGCCATTGTCAATCTCTTGTTCTCACTCGGTTTGTGAAAAGACTGGTGAGAACTCCCTCCGGCCTGGAAGCTCTTTGAATTTGGAAGCTAATATCCTTTACATCTGTTTTCTCAGAATTCCCATTAGTCAACCTTTGGACCTCTTGAAATTATTCCATAACTTTTTAAATCTTTTCTCCCCCTGTTTTCTGGGAAATTTCTTCAATTACATCTTACAATCCTGATGTTTATTCTGAGCATCATATTTTTAAATGTCTAGTAATTCTTATTTTTTCTGTGCATGTTCTTCTGTTAAAATGGTACCCGTTCTTTTTCTCGAGTGTGAAGTTCCCTGACCCTCCTAAGGACGTCGTTGTCATGTGGCTGTGCAGTTCTCCTGCGTCCCTCTGGGCCCGCCCGCCCGCCCGGGGCTGGGCCTCCAGCTCCTGCTCCTCCAGGAAGA